ACACTATTCTGTAAAATGACACGCGAATTTACACACCCAGGCAGGAACGGTTCCCTACAAAGCAGGAGCAGTCCCCCACGCACCTCCCCTCGTTATCCCCATAGAAAATTCTGACCCGTCATGGCACCTTCCTGTACTCCCAACTCTCCCAAAAACCAAGGCAGGTACCCGTCAGTACCCGTCAGCTCCTTCACCCCCCCAGTAGGTTCATATCAGCCACCGGAGCGAAAACACGGATACTCGCAGCTGGTGATATCAATGCCATCCATGCCAAGTCACATCCCCTCATCCCTCGCCACTTTGACTTCTCCGGTTCAGGCGAGAGCCATGATAGTCACACAAACTCGGGGGCTGAAAGGAGAGCTGTGTTCCCTATAACCCTCTCATCACACCATGAACGCTCGGATCAAAGCTCCAATTAATATAAAGTGGACATGTCTCACTTCAAGGGAGTAGTGGTTGACAGAGTGATGAATATCTACTTTTTCCTATTGACATCATATGGACACTTGAAGAAAAAGAAACCCCCATCACAAAAGAAGGCAAGGATACCTGACAAAACACGCGAGGAAAAAAGACTGAAAGTAAAGTAGAGTAGAGTAGAGTGAAAAAAAGGCCTTTCAAATTGATGAATTCTTTTCATTCTTGTCCCGAGAAATAACCACCACCCACCCAGCCCTTGTTCAGTAGGCATTCTGTGCCACTAATGGAGAGCTTCCCCAAGCAAAAAGACAGAAAATCAAAGCTCAAGGAAAATAAACAACCGCAACGCAAAACCCAAGATTAAGTTCAAAGCCCATCCGCCTTTCCTCCCTTCCCTTCCCTCCTTCCTATGCCTCCCGTTCCCTCTTGCGAATTCCCTCTCCCATCACCTTGCTGCCGCCCGTCCTTATATCCCTCCCTCCTTTCGTCCGTACATATCTAGTACAGGGAGTAAAAACAGATGGGACAAAAATGTCAAGGAAAAAACTAGCTAGGAAACAGACATTAGATAGCGAGAAAAACTTGGGAGAAAACCAAAAAAAAAAAAAAAAAAAAGGAAAGAAACGATATATCGAACAAGGTATCCGAAACGCAGAACGGAAAAAGAAAGGAAAAGAAAAAGAAAAACGAAAAACGACTAAACTAACTGAACAGTAATAAAAGAAAACGACTAAAATCAACCGCAGTGAAGGCAGATTAAAAGTGGTAAAAGGTGTTAATGAAACACGGAGAAGACAAATTCCCTCCACATGGACCAGCCAACAGTGACAGATATTAGGTTTGCGGGACCGATGGCCCTCCCACTGGACCAATGTGCGAAACCGTACCCTGCCCACCCATATTGCTTAGACCATGACGATGCAGACGCGAAATGCAGCAGCAACCCGAAGGATGACAAGTAGAAAAACACCCAACCCCGCCGCGCCGAGTCCCATACCCAGCGATGTTGTGTAAAGGAGATGCAAGGAAAAAAAAAAAAAAAGGACCATCGCGAAAAGCCGACAAAGAGGTATATGCCCGGAAACCCCACCGCCTATTACTGAGTAGAGCGAGAAAAAGGAAGGAAAGACAAAGCAGAAAAATGTCGTCAGGACGTCGTGGTCTTAGTACACGCTGTCCTCGTCCGCGCCCTGAGAGGTCATAGACGGTGTCGAAACATTCGACGAGGCAGCAATATCGTCGACATAGCCGACGAGAGCTTGAGAGTGGAGGCGGAAGGATTCACCCATGAGGCGAGTAATTCTGCAGAAACACGTTAGCACATCTGTCGACAAGTTTTTCGTCAAGAGAATACATACCCCCAAACAACCACCTCGTCGAGCATGGAACCCCAGAGACGGGCCACCAGCGAGCTCAGCTGCGGTACATAGCGGTCATCAAGATCCTTGCCGAGAAGCTCACGGATCTTGTTGTACATGACCAGCTCTTCCTCAGTAGCTTGCTCCTCGTCATGTTCCAGACGATACAGCCACAAGCTGAGGATGATGATCAGATCCATGCCGCAAAGAGGGTGCTCGATGCTCCAGTTTGTCGGCGAGGTTCTGGCAACCCAGCGAACGCCCTGGCGCACCGCAGTCTCGATGCAGTCGTAGCACTCTTGAATGACCTTGATCATTTCGCTGGAGCGCTTGACGCGGTCCCGAGCGTTGGCCATGGCGGCGGCGACTTCGTACGATTCGTGGTACCGCAGAGCTTCCTGGACTCCCTTAAGGTCCACCTCGAGACGAGCGCGAGCATTGCGGAACATGGCCTTGGCGTTGAAGATGAGCGGGTGGCCCTTGTGAGGCGCACTGAGGGGCACGGCGACAGTCTCAGGCTCGCAGAGGTCCAAAGATTTCTCCCAAGTCTCTAAAGCAATCCTAAGCTTGTACTCCGTGAGAACATCCTGCAGGGCCTCGGGGCTGCGTTTGTGGTACCAGACTTCGAGGAAGAGCGCGTTTATCATGACACGAGTGGCAAAAGCACTGTACTTGAGCGCCTCTCCTTGGAACAGATCGGCGTGGGCCTTCATGATGGTGACGCTGGGAGAAGCTCGGAGGTGGTCTTGCCAGGCATCCTCCGGTACCTTGAGATTCCAGAGGGCCTCGGTGGATGGCAGCTCAAGATCCTCAAACTCGTTGAAGCTGATGGCCGGAGTGTGGTTGTACGTAAGAGTGAGGAGGCCGAAGAAGATGTAGACGGCATAGTAGGTGCGGCGGCATCCTTCATCCTCAACCCACTCAGCACGGGTCGGCAGGCGACCACCACGAGCCTCCTGACGAAGCTTCAACTCGTAACGATTCCCGGCGACCATGTTGGCAAGAAGACCCTTGATGGAGCAGGCCCACTCGAGACCCTTGGCGTCACCACTCCAGCTAGCAAAGATCATGTTGAGCAACGAACTCTGCATGGTCCACAATGGGCACTTTCGGGAGCTGAAGTTCTCCTTGTTCTGGAGGAACTGGTTGACCAGCACCTTGGAGCCAATGTGGAGAACGTAAGCCTGTTCTTGGTCAAAGGCATAAAGAGCACCGATGGAAAGAACAGCCAAGAGAAGCGCAGGCGAAACCTGGGTGGGCTCGAACGAAGCGGGGTGCAAGAAAGGCAGGTGGTGGTGGAACAGGCCAAAGTAGGTGGCCAGGTAGCGGTTCAGGGATGACAGGCTGGGGACCCGGAAGCCTTCAGGGATAGCGTGCTCGCTGTCATTGCCACGAATGTTGTCCAGAATCACGTTTCTCTCCTCGTCACTGTTGATCATGGGCGCCTTGAAGGTGGACGACTGAGCGCCATCGGCAGGGCTGTCGGCGCGCTGCTGCACAAACGGTGACTGGGGGGCAGGGGTGCCCGCGGCAGAAGGAGGCAGAGAGTTGATCGTGGCCTGCATATTCGGCGCCAACCCATTGCCGTGCTGGCCGCCGAGGAGCTGGTTGGGATTCTGGGCATCAAACGACATCGATCCGTTCGAAGTGATCGAGTGCGCCTTGGGGTCCTGCGGGACAAAGCCATCCCACTGGTGCAGAGCGAGAGGAGCGTTGGTGTAGGTTGGTTCCAACATCGACGACCCGTTCGAGGGGAAGGTCATGCTGCTTGGGCTGGCACCGAATTCGCTGTTGGCTCGAGCAGCTGCGCGAGCTTTATGTTGAATATCAGCAACAAGCATCGCAGCAGTTTCCACATCAAAAATACCATCGCTACTAGCTTCAATCTGCTCACTCAGAGCTGACGTGTCAATCGCAAGCGCCGACTTGGAAGAGCCGCTGACAGTTCTGGCCGCCTTGGGACCGCCGCGACGCTTTCCATCACTGTGAAGAGGAACACCGCCATCTTTAGCGTGCACGGTACGGTCATGTCTGAGGAGAAGATCACGTCTGACAAAGGTACTGCGACACTTTTGGCACTTGAACGGCCGCTCCTTGGTGTCTGTGAGGTGGTCAGCTTGGCTGTGTTGTTGGTGGTCATGATAACGATGCGAATCAAGGTGGGGGATGGAGGGATGGAGATGGGAGAGAGAGGACAACATACGTGATCGTTCATGTCTACTTCTGTGCTCGCTTCTGCTAAAAGCTCGGTTGCAGAACTGGCATTTGTACTTTCTTTCTGGCGCGATTGACGTCTTCCGGGAGGCCGGCGTAGATGTGGCCGTTGATGGCATGACTGCCACGCTTGCGCCTGGCATCTTGTATGGTGGATCTGTGGCAGGATGCAGCTTGTCGAGGTCGAGTATCTTTGTTTCTGGTAAAGATGACTCGGCGGTCGGTGTGATGCAGTGCTGGACTCGACGACGACGACGACGACAGCGACAATGACAACGGTCACAGAACGATAGTTGAGATCGCTTTGCCTAGCTTCCTTCCAGATTCCTCGCTTCGCTTTCGCGCGCGCTCTCGCTCCCGTGGGATTTAAAGTGTGTCTTCTGGACTTTGAATCGTGTAGCTGCTCATTTGTGGTATGGTCATGGAATGAAGGTCGGTATTTGGGGTGATTAAAAGGGCATCCGCCGATTGAAAGTCGAGAACGGTCAACCCGCTGCAGTGTGCGAGGACAGTTGTGGTGTTTATTATGTGCAGTAGGCGCGACGAAGTGGCGGGCCTCTTTTGGGGGGGGGAGGGGGAGTCGAGGGGGTGAAAAGTAGGAGGGGTTGTCGAGAAAGGTTGATGACGGGAGGAGGAAAGAGAGGGATGCGAGAGGGGAAAAATGGACTGCGGAGGTGGTGGAGGGGGGGAGGGATACTGCCAATGCAGGTGGGGGTGCTGTCCCAGACCGTCCCAGTGAACTCGTTCGCCTGTGAAGCAGCAGGGTGGATAATTTTGCTTTGTCCCGGATAGGCTTAGCGGTCGCGCTCCCAGTTGAGCCCGGGAACGAGCAACTCCTGGCGGCCCACACAGTCTCTCGAGGGGTTGGGAATCATTCAGGGAATCCACAACCGCAGCGATACTTTTCCCTAATGAGCATCACGCAAAATGCAGACCGTCCACCGTCGATACCGCCCTCCGAGAAAGCGGTGAGCCCCTCCGGATCCTCATCCGGTGTCCGTAAGAGCTCTCATGATGCCGCCGCACACTAGAATGCCACCTGGCCGCCGAGGGACACCTGTCGCCGAAGGTCACGACGAGGTACTCGGCGGTCGGCTCAGGTGGGGGATTTGTTCCCAGCTTTCCAGCTTTCCCGCTTTACAGACAGGACAACAGCTCGACACAAAAGGGGCCCCCGCGGGGCATGGGGAGAGCTGTCAAGTCACGTCCAAGTAACACGCCAAGTCCTGTCTCCTAACGATTGGCACTGCTCTCAGACGGCACGCCCTATCATTTGGGACCGCAGGTGTTAACGCGTCCGTTGAAGCCACGTCCCATTAAATGACCTGGGAATGCACAGTGCCGGCTGGCGGAAATTTGGCCTCTTTCGATAGTGTGTCCCCCGACCCAGAATTGCTTCTCTTGCACTTCTCGAAATTCAAAAAGCCCGGCGCGATGAGGGGGGAGGGGTGGTGGGAGAGAGCTGGTCGCGGGGCAGATGGCAAATCACCTCAGGTCCAGGTTTCCAGCTCCCAATCGATCGCCATCGCCTTCCCCTCATTTTGTTGTTCTCTTTGTCAGGTCCAGAATTGACCCAAGCTTCTTCACACAGCTCACCTCACATCAAGCAACAGCTCACCTGCTCGCCCACGGGCCTCCCAAGCTAATTCCTACAATCAGCTCCCCTCTGGAAAAACTAATGATGCAGTCACTTGACCGCCACATTGTGATAATAACTGATTAAGAGAATCTACACAGTGGAGTTTGTCGATGCGATGCGGTGGGGCTGTTGTCGCAGCGTTGCGTTGGCATGGCGGGGAGGTGTCGGGTATGAAATGGCATAGCATCTACACTACCATTTCAAACGGAGGGAGACCTCTTTTTCACCACGTTCTGCTGCAGTGGTGCTGGTGCTGTACCCAAAATAGGCCTTTTCCCTGGCAGTGCGATCCCTCATTTGATATTGATGGGCGAGTGTGGAGAGGATATGCATGACAATGCCGCAACTTGCAAACCAAAAAGCAAGGCTGTGTGCCAGTGGGTGTTTACAGCCAATACCTGTCCTGACGACGATGCCACATCGACACATTTGTTGTCCCGTGATTAGGTCACCTACTGCGTATGTACACAACAGCCCCCTCCATGGCTCGTGACAGAGGCCTTCTTGGTGATGGAGATAGCGTTTGCAATGGCACGCCCGTTTCGTCGGCTGGAACATCCATGATGCTTCTACCGGCTAGAAGCCGCCTGAGGTAGCATGTAGCTCTCGAGCCCCTCCCCCTCCCCCGGTAATAATGTCAGACCATGGCCGTCCAAGGCCATCTCCGAACGGCCATGCTGCCGCTCGCTCAGCACGACGGCCAGCCCAGAAGCAGAAGCATTTTCATTCCCTCGGTCCCATCAGCGTGGCAGACGTGCCTCCGCGATCCGCTTCAGCGGGGATCGGTCTGTCTTGCGGCTCTTGGCGTCTTGGCCGAACAATCCGCAGAACACTCCAGCTTCTCACAGGCATGATCCCAATTCTTGGAGGGGTAAACTGTGGGAATTGTGGGTGAGCTTTTTCCATCAGTTCTCGCGAGAGATCGAGACGATGGAGTTGAACTTTTGCTCGGTACTAATACGGCACAGATCAGCCACATCTCACCCAACTCAGGGCCCGGATGGGCAAGCCAGGTGTTTGCTATTTTCTTTCTTTCTTTTTGGGATTCCCGTATCAGAATTTTCACTCTTCCTTTCTGTGACCACCACCCCCTGAAATTGCGCGCACGGTGAGAACCAGCCAACACATGTGCGCTAATCCGGGGCGGAAGTTGAAGCCGGTTCCCTAGCCACATTGGCGTTTCCCAGAGCTGGGAATGCAACCCCTCCTTGAGGAAACCGTCGATAAGCCACCCCACCACCAGCCCACCAAGCAGAACAGAGACAACCACTGACGCTGTCCCCTCGGTGTTCTCGGGGACACTGGGGAGACTGGGAATCCGTCATCGAGAGTGTGCAGCCGGCAAGATGTTCGCCTGCTGCTTTGCTGGCTGGTTGCATGTGCATGTGCAAAGCTGCAGCAGCATGCCCGCTTCTCTTTTGCTCAGATGCTGTACTTATCACGACGTATCTCAAAAACGGTTCACCCTTCCCCTCCCCCTCCCTTCCCCTCCGGCTATGAAGTTCCTGGCTGATTGCTCAGAGATTGCCCCTCTTCGATCAGGACGTCCAGGAACGGGTCGGCGGGGACTTCAGCCTCTAGCCTCTAGCCTCTAGTGTCACGGTGGCAGGTCAGCACAACGCGCACAGTGCGTGTCACGAACTGATGGATTGGCGGAATGGATGGGTGTTGCTTTTCTATTTTGCTGGCCGCTGGTTGCTGGTCAGTGGTTACACGATGAAATCTCGGGTGCTATTAACCAACTCATCCTGGATCCTTCCTATAATGCTCCGTGCCACGGCGATACTGGACACAGTAATGCTCGGAACGGCGGAGGAGGGTGTCGTCGACTACCAAACACCACGACATCTTGGGATCAATCCTACCGTGCCTTCTAACCGCATTGAGCACCGGACGGCACACATACGAAAAAGAATTTGACGACATTTTGCGGACGCTACCTCACCAGCTATCGGTAGGGTGGTGTTGATTTTCTTTCTCGAAGGAGATGAGACGGCACGACGGGCCCCCTTGTCACTCGGCGAAGTCTTGAGCACAGAGATTTGCTCTCGTCGAGCGATCGTTGGATGATCGCCATCTCTCTGCGAACACGCCTGCAGCTTCATGCAAAGCACACGTGAACCACACCAGACGGACGACGACAACCACTCTGTCACTGCCCCCCCTTTTTTTCCACCCCCTTGGATGTCGCAGCCACAGCAGCAAAGCCAAACAACGCCCCTCGAAGAGCACCGCATTTGTTTGACCTTTCGTCATAAACAAAAGTCAGAAATCATTTCATCATGTTTCACGCGCTGCTTCAGGGTGGGACCATCTCCCTTTCGGGTCTCACCCGGGCCCTGGAAAGGTGTGGCCCGAGGCCGAGGGTTCGGAAATTGGCTCCATCAAGAACTTATTTTTTTTTCCTGTCTAGTTTTGGCGATTCAGATCTTGGACCCCGCGACCAAGAATCCAGGGCAACGGCCATGCCGGAAGTCGCATCATCTTCCCAGGACGGACGCAAGTCATCAGAGATTTCTCCCTCTTCTTTGGGATCCCGGAAACCATGGGTGATGGAGGGGCAGTCGGTATCAGCTTCGACCCTTCTCCTGATGCAGCAGGTGGACGCCAGCCAGCACTTCTTCCCTACGCCAAGCGACTGTTTACCTCTATCCCAACCTTGATCACATCCAGCGTGGCATGCCCCTCCCATAGGGACAGCCAAGCAGCCCTTCAACCCGTTCCAAAACATCTTCATCGCGGGGCCTAGGCTTGTCACCGCTCCCTCACCGCACATTTTGACAACTTTGGGGGAGGGGTACCAGACCCCTTGCTAGCTCGGGTTGGGCCGCCGATTTTCCCCTCCTCGCAGGAAGACAGCAAAGACAACAGAGGGGAATGCCAGGGGCAACTGCAAGCCGACTGGAATCGGCACAAAAAACCGCTCTTTTCTTCCCTATCCAGCGGTGTGGCGTTTTGCTGTTTTCCAGACCAACCGTCCGTCTCGCAAGGACCGGGCCTCTGCCGTCGACGGTCCGGCGCTCGAAAACGATGCAGTCCAGAAAGGGTCTCGTCAGGGGTACACGTGGTGGTCAACTTATGGTCGATGGTTACACACTCGATGTGCGGTTCAATGTCGGTGGCCTGTCAACGTTTATGCCCTACCAATCTTGCCTCCTCAACATATCGAGCGCGAGATGCTGGATCACGGGACTTTGGCTGAGGACACGGGCTGACGCCATGGAGGCGTTCAACAACGTTTCGCCTTCGGCTGCATACAGGCAGCACCACGTGCGTATCATGGTCTCGCTCGTACAGATTTCTGTTACACATGATATCTTGCCACTCTTATTACTGCTGTGATACAGAGTATGGGTTCCGTCGCCTGGCTGGCCGCACAGCAGCCAATACAATACTCCGCTGACGCTGACGAGCAAAACAAGGGGCTGGCTCAGCTACCCGACGTCCCCAAAATCCGGTCTGAGTGAACCAATTCGAGGCAGGCGGTTGGAGGTCGCCAGTGTT